CCTCGCTCCATCCCTCTCATACACACACACTCGCACACTCACACATGCACACACCCAACCACAAACAACTAAAAGCGCGCGCAAACACACACACAGGATGAGAGTTGACAGTGAGGGAGTTTCAAATTCCAGCTAGCATTGATTTGGGCCGGATGGCAAATGTTTCGGGGGAGATTTCGGCCACACTTCAGAAACTTTGGGGAGGACCTCAGATTACTGTCCCACGTTCTGCAATGCGCAAGAATATTTTGCCCTGAAAATTCTGAAGGGCGTCCGAAGATAACGCTAGCTAGGATCAGTGCGTAGACGCAATGATTTGGAGAGCCAGAGTGGAAAGTGACGACCTCCAGGATGACCCCACTGTGACACACCTCAGATCTGACATGCAGGTGCCAATGAATCAGGAACTGTCAGTGGGACTGTGTCAGGTCGACTGGCGATGAGTACAACAGTAAGTAGTCAGTGAGTGACGTCGTCCTAGCTCAGTCGACTTGTTGCACTTGATGAGTGAACTTGCATTGATTCAACAGACCGGTGGAGACAGCAGACACCGGTGACACATGGCCAGACAGGCAAGTAGACTGACTGTCAAGCACTAAAAGCCTCACGAGCCTGCCAGGATTCGAACCTGGAATCTCCTGATCCGTAGTCAGGCGCGTTATCCATTGCGCCACAGGCCCATGCCATGCAGATACCATCACACCTCGACCACAACACACCCACTCAACAACACATCCCTCCTCACTCACACGCACACACACACACGCATTCATGCACACACCTGACCACCAATTCACCATCACACCACACCACATCACATAAACAAACACAACACTCTCACACAATCGAGTAACTCGTCAACATCAACTGAAACCGAGCACGGTCAGCCAACCACGCCACTTCACCCTAGTCCTAACATCGACTACTCCATTCAATCGTCCACAATCCACTACGGGCAATAGCCTACCACATTCACAATAATCAATAGCAAACAGACGAGGGAGAAACGAACCAACCCACTCACCAACCAACCATGCGACCGAGAAACCTAGCACAAACAATCAGACAGGCAACCTCCCTCCCTCGCTCCATCCCTCTCAAACACACACTCACACACTCACACATGCACACACCCAACCACAAACAACTACAAGCGCGCGCAAACACACACACAGGATGAGAGTTGACAGTGAGGGAGTTTCAAATTCCAGCTAGCATTGATTTGGGCCGGATGGCAAATGTTTCGGGGGAGATTTCGGCCACACTTCATAAACTTTGGGGAGGACCTCAGATTACTGTCCCACGTTCTGCAATGCGCCCGAATATTTTGCCCTGAAAATTCTGAAGGGCGTCCGAAGATAACGCTAGCTAGGATCAGTGCGTAGACGCAATGATTTGGAGAGCCAGAGTGGAAAGTGACGACCTCCAGGATGACCCCACTGTGACACACCTCAGATCTGACATGCAGGTGCCAGTGAATCAGGAACTGTCAGTGGGACTGTGTCAGGTCGACTGGCGATGAGTACAACAGTAAGTAGTCAGTGAGTGACGTCGTCCTAGCTCAGTCGACTTGTTGCACTTGATGAGTGAACTTGCATTGATTCAACAGACCGGTGGAGACAGCAGACACCGGTGACACATGGCCAGACGGGCAAGTAGACTGACTGTCAAGCACCGAAAGCCTCACGAGCCTGCCAGGATTCGAACCTGGAATCTCCTGATCCGTAGTCAGGCGCGTTATCCATTGCGCCACAGGCCCATGCCATGCAGATACCATCACACCTCGACCACAACACACCCACTCAACAACACATCCCTCCTCACTCACACGCACACACACACACGCATTCATGCACACACCTGACCACCAATTCACCATCACATCACACCACATCACATAAACAAACACAACACTCTCACACAATCGAGTAACTCGTCAACATCAACTGAAACCGAGCACGGTCAGCCAACCACGCCACTTCACCCTAGTCCTAACATCGACTACTCCATTCAATCGTCCACAATCCACTACGGGCAATAGCCTACCACATTCACAATAATCAATAGCAAACATACGAGGGAGAAATTAACTAACCTACCATTTATCCTACCTTGAAACTTATGACAATCAATAAGTTTATGACGAACAATAACTTTACTGCCCCCCATGTACCGCATTTCTTTCTTCGGTTTTTCTACTGATAGTTTTATTCGTTCTATTTCTTATGTAAATTTTGCAGCTGCACTTGTTTTCTGAAGTTCCGTGTCACGTACATAATGTGAAGTGAAGAGGTTTATGTCAGGACCAGGTGATGAATTTGTAGTGGCGATTCTACTACTGGTTTTCTGCATGTTTTCGCCTTCAGTTTCAGCTGCAGTAGATGGCACCTCGACGCTTGCGGCGTATTGGCAAGCTGTGCACCTCACTTCCATACTTTGTGGGAGTTGTGCTGCTCGTTGTTGCGGGCATACTTGTACTATCAGTCATCACGTTGACAGGTGACTGAGTTCGTGGCTCTTTTGTACGACTAACCACAACTAGTAAGCGAAATAGTTATTGGTTACAATTATGGAACTGAAGAAACACTTGTGCGAGTCTCACAGCAAAAATAGAAATATATAGCGAATCAAGTTAAAATGTAACGCAATTGTTGAACGCACCGCCATCTGTTCTGAAACAGTGGCCGAAGCTCTCTGTAGGCGCTTATGCGACTTGTTCCAACACTCAACGGATTGGGAGAAACTGCCAAGGAAGTGGAAAAGAGCCATCCTTCCTCCGATCTTCAAGGGTGGGGATAGGCAAAATGCCACTAGTTATAGACCAGTAGCTCTACTCCCAGTGGTGTCAAAAGTACTGGCAAGTATTATTGATGATCATATCAGGGAGTACCTCGATAGGTCTAATACACTCCATGAAGCCCAACACGGTTTCAGAAAAGGCAGATCCTGTTTTACTAACCTACTGTCAGCTTTGGACGATTGGAAATCATGCTGGGATATGAATGTTCCAGTCCAAGTGGCCTTCCTAGACTTTGAGAGGGCATTTGACACCGTTTGCCATGACCTTCTACACATAATAAGCCTGGTATATATAGGTAAGCCACTTCTGTCATGGTTAAAGGACTACCTAGCTGAGAGGTAATTTCGCACAAAGGTCAATCAAGTCTGGTCATCTTGGTTCAGCTTGTCATCAGGAGTGTCACATGGCTCTATCCTAGGACCACTGATGTTTTTGAATTTTATCACTGATATGCCATGCTGTCTAAGCTGCCCGACTCTTCTACACGCTGACAACGTAAAGATATGGAGGGCGATAAAGTGTGCGGAAGACCCAGATAGGCTGCAGGAAGATCTAAACCTTCTGGAAGACTGGGCGGTGGCCAGTGGCATGACTTTCAACCTGAAGAAGTGCAAAGTAGTGAAGTTACGCACCTGTAGACTGCAGAATGCAAGTCACACCCTGTGCAGTGAAAGCTTTTCCTGCACAACGTTGGAACGCGACTAAAGTCTAGTTCCCACGGATAAAATGGACACAAGCGTAAATTACACGGGGCATGTAGCGAGGGCATATGTGATCATGCACTTTACACATAGACAGCTAAGTGCACTCACTCCTGAGCTCTTTCTAGGGTTGTACAAAACATACGTGAGACCACACCTTGAAGTGCATAATATTATTGCACCCCACTGCTTAGAAGAGACGCCAACCTCTTGGAAAGAGTTCAACGACGGGCGACAATAGGAGTGGCTGGTCTCCAAAACAAACCATATGACGAAAGGCTGAAGAAATTAGGCCTATTCACACTTAGCTAGCGTAGTCTTAGGGGGGATTTAATTACTGCCTGCAAAATAACAAATGATCAGCATCACCCAAACGAAGGTGTTCTGCCATTGAGTAGGTATAGGCTCCCTCGTGGAAATCCTAGAAGCATAGCTCACCCGAGGGCAAGGACCCAGGTGCGCTCCCACTTCTTTTGTCTGCCGGGTTTGCCGTCCCTGGAATTCTTTACTGGCAGATGTAGCTATGGAACCGTCTGTGGACGCCTTTAAGCGAAGGCTGGAAAATCATACAGCAGCAAAAGGACTGCGTCCAAATGGCCTATCAGCTTTAAATCCCATACACCATTCAGGGATAGACAACTAAATTCGTCGTTTTGCTTCTTTACATTCTCTCCCGTCTTACTCTTCTGATAGCTTTAACTACACCTGTTATTATCGTCATTATTACCGATATATATATAATTCATATTATTCTTCAAATTTATTCAGCTGTCTGCTTTTACGTTTTCTTTATTTTTTTCTCTATATTATTCTGAATAACTTCACTAATTATATCTATTATTATCTCTTTTCTTTTGACGACGATACCGGAGGACTAACTGGTGAAAGGATCAACTCCATTCACAGCAGTAACAGTCTTAACACACCTCATACTACAAACCACATATAATTAATTCCAGCACTACTCCTTTTGGAGTCAACCAAAGCTACGACAGTCGAGTGGCGGGACGAGCTACGCAGAAGCTTACCGAAGATCAGGAACCTATACCTCACAATCAAGAGGCTAGCACAAAGAAATCAAATTGGTTTATACTAGCTCGTAAAAACGGTATTAGATATTGGGAGAAACATTATTACCGAATTTAAACTATGCTAGCTAAAGTAGAGGTCTGTCAAAAGTTAGCCATCAATCAGGTTTTGGGAATGGCATGGAAGATCATTCCATATCAAGTCTTGCGCACATTTATAGATTCGGTGAATGAATTCCGTCAAGACCTAGTGAATCTACATTGTTAGTTAGGGTAAGGGTTAAGATTAGTTTGAGTTAAGGTTAGAGCGTGATTTCCTTAAGGATTATTCTCGAAATTAATAGGAGATACTCTTTCAATACATAAGGAACAGTCATCCAGTGTAATATCATGTTCGCGATGCTTTCTGAGATATTGCGTAACAATTATGCATCTGTTTGCATATGAATTCTGATTGGTTGTTCAAGGACACCACGACTTTGGCTGCAGTAGGTTAACCTTAACCATCCGGCAAAGACAACTGTGAGTTGACTGTAGTCACTTTCCAACCTGGTGGTTATATGAAAGTATGTGGACTAAACGTCTGCTGTATCTGTCGGGCTGCTTCTGTTTTTGATCGAATATATTGTGTTAATTAGTCAACAGAGAATCGTTGCAACTTTAGAAACGCCCAACCCAATCGTGCAGTAGTGGTAAAAATGGGTGAATAATGTGCTTGGCCGGCAGTACTTTGTACTGGGCGGATGTTGGTAAAGAAAGTAATTTACCCTATTTTGATCAAAATTAACGGATAGCTTGCGGTTCCGGCTGTTATTCAACCAATCCCAAATGAAAAATTTATCCATGGATAAAAAAGCTTGCAAGCTTACAACAATTCTGAACTTATTCTAACCTATTCTACTATAATGCCTTTTTATGCTAAATGAAGATCTTATCTACCCACTATGTTCTGAAATAACGCTGGTCGTGCTTAAAGAAAGAGCTGCAGTTCTCTTAACTCAGCACCCATATGGGTGCTGAATTAAGTCTTTTCGTTCTGAAGTAACGCTACTGTATGCTTAATAGATTCAGATTCAGATTCAGATTCAGTTGATAAGGATAGAAGGCTCTTGTGGCCTGTGTTAATCCTTGCAAAATATATCTCTGCAGAGATCTAACTTCTCTTTGAAAGCGTTCACCGATGGAGCTGTTACTACTGAATCAGGTAAGGAGTTCCAGTCGTTGACCACTCTATGAGAGAATCTAAATTCTGCACGTATTTTAATCGTCCTCGGTTTGAGCACCTTTTTGCGGTGACCCCGTAAATGTATCCTAGAAGGAGAGAAAAGTTTAGAAAGGTCAGTTCCTAAATCACCCTTAAGTATACGGTAAGCCAAAATTAGGTCGCCTCTCTTCCTTCGGTATGATAACGGAAAGAGATTTAGATGCTCCATCCTCTTGTCATAAGGAAGGTGTGATATACCACTAACTAGTTTCGTTCCTACTCTCTGTACTCTTTCCAGGATATATGCCTCCTTTTTGAAGCATGGACCCGCCGCTTGTACGCAGTATTCTAGATGAGGCCTAACATATGTTGCGTAGAGTATTTGGAACATGCCCTCATCTAATCGTTTGAAAGCCCTACGGAGTGCCCATAGCATTCGAAAAGCCTTAGCTGCGGCTGCATTGCAGTTTGCAGTTGTTTTCAAATCATTGCTGACAATGATTCCTAGGTCCTTCTGTTCGTTAACATCAGGTAGTTCTGTGTCCCCTAGGGAGTACGACGTATAAGACTTCTGACCTAAGTGCATTACTGCGCTTTTCCTAGAATTCATTTTCAAACTCCACAGGTTCGACCACTCCGCTAATTTATCTAGATCAGTTTGTAGGGCCGACCTATCCTCGCTATTGTTTACAGTTTTCCATATCTTAATGTCATCTGCAAATAACAATGAAGATGAAGTAAGAATCCCTGGTAGCTCATTAACGTATAATAGGAATAGCAAGGGGCCTAATACAGTTCCCTGGGGCACTCCACTGGATACTGCTTTCCACCCTGATAGTACACCGTTAACCCTAACCTTCTGCCTTCTATCCATTAGGTAATCCCTAAACCACTCACATAGGCATTGGTCTAGTCCGAAACCTTTAAGTTTACTAAGGAGACCTAAGTGGGATACTTTGTCGAATGCCTTGCTAAGATCAATAAAAACCACGTCCAACAGAAGGTTTTTATCTCTGGCCTCGACCCAATCTTCCCTAGCTAACAGTAAGTTTGTTAAGCAGGATCGTCCTGGTCGGAATCCATGCTGTTCAACTGCCAGTAAGCCATGTGTTTCAACGTAAGCTAATAGCTGATCCCTTATAATAGTTTCCATTACCTTTGCTATAATGCATGTTAGACTTACCGGCCTGTAGTTAGATACCAATTGCCTGTCCCCCTCTTTGAATATAGGGCTTATAATGGCATCCTTCCAGTCCCTGGGTAGCTTAGCCTGGGTCAGTGACATTTGGAAAATTTCCGCGAGTGGAATATATATTATATCCGCCAAGGAAATTAATAGTTTAGGGTGAAGTCCATCAGGCCCAGGTGATTTACCTGGTTTCAGTTTAGACAGTAGTTTGAGGACTTTTGTGTGCTCTACCACAATTGAGGGCATCTGAGTGGCGATGGCAGTAACCTCGCCATATCCCTGGGTGGTACTATCAGACGAGAAGACGTCACAGAAGTATTCAGAGAGGTTTTCAGCCTTTCCTTCGTCTGACTCAGCCGTTTCTCCACTAATGCTTATAAGTGACGGTATACCATTGCTAGTTTTAGTCCTACGTTTAATATACGAGAAGAGCCTTTTTGGGTAGTGAACACTATCTAGCACAAGCCGTCTCTCATATTCTATACGACTCTTGTTAATCGCATACTTACAGAGATTTCGAATTTTGCGGTAGTCTTTCTGGAAATTTTCCCTTCCTGTGAGGGCTGCAACAACGCTGATAAGCAAATCCAGTAGGCTCTGATTTACTGAAAATGCCTAGAAAAAGAACAGGTTGCTGAATTATGCCACTTATGCTTAAAACTAGCCTGTGCTGCTGAAGAATCCACTTCAGGACAAATTCAGAATTTACTCACTATAGAATGTTAGAATAATTTCAGAACTAGTGAGATTTAAATCAGGGGTTTACTGAAGATTGATTGTCGCATCTCCCCTAAATTTCTGCGTTAGGTTGCCCCAGAATTGCTCCCAGTTCTGCACCATTAAACAGATGTTCTGCTATGATTTAACCAGTGTATTCCATTATTTAACAACTACTTGCCAATTTTAACCATTATTTATGCAATATTTTCTCATTTCGACTGTTATTAAACCGAGGTTCGCCCGTTATATTACTATTTTCCTTATTAGGATAGGTCATTGAAAATGAGAAAGGTTGTGTAATAAGACATGTCTCTCAAGTTCCCAAAATTCTGGAAATGGTCCAACAGTCCTCTATTTTAAAGCAGGCTGCAACCTTTTTAGATTTTCCGTTTGAATGTCATTCCTTGAAATTGAATGTCTAACCACCTAGCTTCGTTTAACGCTTGTTAATTCCGTTTAAATATATTAGACTGCTAATCTATATAATTGGTGTTTACTTTAATGAGGCATAATGTTTACACAAAAAAAGTGCAGTAAGTTTTACCTTCAATTTTTCTCTACTTTAGATATTCTCATCACTTTGTTCTGTTTTCACTGGGAAATGAACCAGTTAGATATCATCACTTTGTTGATATTAGTACAAACAAAATGACTCACTTATTGGAAACATAGTAACTATTGATCATTGCAGGAATGGAATTCTATGAATGAAAAAGTGAATAGGTTCGACATCTAAGGATGCTAGATACTTAGATGATAAATTATTTCACTGAACCATTAACGTGGCGAATGGTTACAAAGTGTTGAAATATTTTTTCATGCAAGAGGCTTTTGAGCAAATAAAGTACAGCTTTGCTAGGTACTACATTTTGCAAAATCTCCTTTAAACAGGAATACTATCGAGCAGCAGATATTTTCATCTTTGGTGTACTTGCGTGTATAAGTTTCGACATGAAATTCTCCTATAACTCAGTGGATTTCACACGCATAAATTTCCATAGGTTAATTTGTCTCTTGATGCTTGAGAATAATTCACGATCACAATAAATTGGTCAAATAACATGCAGTAAAGGTTGATAAATGATGATGCGGCCTGTAGGAACGGCACAGGAGACTTCCGTCGCCGTACTCTTATTACAACCAAAACGGCCATCATGATGCTGTCATCTTGCCTAATATAAACTAAATCAGTCAGTGTTCTTTATGTAGCCTTATATCTGTGCCACCTTAACAGGGATTCCCAGTTATGTTCTTTTTGCATTTAATTTGTTTGCTATTAGGAAGCCTATGTAAGTGTACACAAATAACTACACATATACTTGTGTAAACTACATTAATTGCAAGGTAACGTGCGAATCTTCAACTGGGCTTCATGGTCTTTTAGAATAATACGATAAGGTAAGGCGAGCGATGATTACTGAACAGTGTGACCTGGAGTCTTCAGCTTTTGGTTATGGTCTTGGCGTAGTTAACAAACATGACTGAAAAATGACTCCTCAATATCTTGCCTTAGTATAGCTGCGTTTGACTCCCCTTCAAACTAATTTTAACCCCGTTGGAAAAAAAGGCGGGTAGATAGTAGTAATGTGGGTCACAGAGTTTCACGAAATCATGGATTGGCTTGCATGTTGTTTTTTTCAATTCACCGAATTCTGGCAATGTGGTCAGATGATTTCAGCCCTCACAGCATTATGGTACAACACTTAGTTGGTAGGTAATTAGATACCTCGTCTACTACAAAAATGTCACATTTTAGCAAAACAAACGAACTGCTTTGTCTCCACCAAGGTTTCACTAGTTACCAACTCACACGGATTTATGTAGCTTCTCTTTTGAGTGAAATAATCGATAAATCTATTATCTCCATATTCTTAGACTTTACGGAATATTCGTTTAGTATTACGATCAGCTTATGATTATATTTTTATAAAACTAACTGTTAATATAGTACCAGAATACTGTTTACAGTTTATGAGTCAAATTGCGAAATTGATCGAAATAGTTGCCAAATAGTAGTGAAGACTCATAAGCAGTATCAACTGTAACCTGGTGGCGAGCTCCAGTAAATTTGTTGATAAATCCTGACAGACTGTTCTGTGTCTTAACTTGTTAAACTCCTGTTATACTATGGTTCTCGTTGTTGTTGCTGTTTGAAATCGTTCCAGCGAACGGGTTTTTCATGTTTTCAGCTCTGAGGTACACTTATTATATTTGCGTTGATGATACTACTCAGGTGCCAGTCTGAAGTGAAGTGTGATTCGAGTTCGGGACCTTCTAGCCTAAAATTGAGCGCTTAAGCCAATGAGCCACTTTTCCATATGGTTCTTACAAGTCAATTATAATCTATTCTTTGACTTACATGACTTCACCAACTTTGTACGCTGTTCTAGTGTCAGATAATGCCTATTTATGTACCACATGACTGATAGATTATTTGTTTGTCTCAATTTTTATCTTGAAGAATGAATTCTAAGAAGTTTTGCTATTTATTCCTCATTTTATTGAAAGATCTCACACTGATCCTCACTTAAGTGGTTGGGTGAATGAAAACGTCTAGCACTTGCAACCGGACTCACCGACATACGTAGGGGGAGCTAGGAAGCCTTGATTCCAATCCTATGGTGTACATGGGCTGAAGAATCCGAACGGATCGAGTGGTGTATGCATCCTGTCTGTCTGTCTGTTTTCGACATAGAACTTTGCACGTATGTGCGGCAGTTCAAGTCGCCACACTCCATGTAGCACACAAAGCAAGAGAAGAAATGCATAATATAGACAGTAAACAGAGGTGTGAGACAAAGGTATAGTAATAACGAAGAACAAAACAGTTTCATTGGAAATCATAAGTCACAAGGAGTGGATGCATCTGCGACACTGAGAACGATTTTGAGCCATGTCAGCAATTGTTTCCAACCATTGGTTTTTACCGTCCCGAGGACTCCAACCACGAAGTCTACATCTTCCTACGTGGATTTCATTGACTGGTGCCATGTTTTCGTTTGACCGCCGCTAGCTCTTTTCCAGCCTGGCCCTATATCAGCCAACATTGCCCGACGAGGAAGGCGATGACTAGGCATGCGTAACACATGTCCTAACCATCTCAGTCGATGTAATTACACAGTCTTGTCGACTGATTTCCCCTCCTTACCTAGCACTCGACCGAAGCCTAACCTGAATATTGCTCACCTTATTATACCACTTCACACGGGAGACAAAGCGCAGACACCTATGATCGAAGACAGCTAATCTTTTCATGTCTTCCACTCTCAATGGCCAGATCTCACAGCCATAAAGGAGGACGGAGCGGACTGTTGAGCAGTACACACGCCCTTTGGTCGATAGTCGGATATCGCGTCTACGCCAGAGACGGCGTAAACTGGCATATGCGAACCTAGCCCTCTGTATTCGTGCTGATATTTCGTCTGAGATCAACCCGTTGGGGCTGATGGTACTTCCCAAGTAATTGAAGAGGTCAACGTGCTCTACCACTTCACTTCCTATTTCTAATCTAGGGGTCGGTGAAGTCCAATCTTGCAGCATCATCTTACATTTTACAGGGGCGAATCGCATGCCAAACATTCTTAGATTGCAGAATGTTTGGCATGCGATGTATGTATCTGTTCTGGTTACTGGCATCCATGGGAATTTAGCTCCTGGCTCTGCTGCACTACATTCTGGATCAGACTTCTTGTCAAAGGTTTATGGAGTGATAACGACTTAAGATAATCACCTCCGACTTGGGCGTCCGAGTAGTAGTATCCCAACCTTGTGCGCATCTTTTAGTACCAAGTTTATGTTTTTATAGCATAATTATATGGTTTCTTCTACTAGTTTTGTAGCGAACCCACAGATTATTTGGGCAAATTGTGATCTTTAGATACAATACTTGTTTCGCCTTTGCACATCACTTCACACTAAACACAGGATTGCACTGTTTACTAGTCTTTTGCGTGGAATGCTACACATTTCATCTTGATACAATTTTATTTATTTTTTCAATAATGATGTATCTTTATTTTTTCAGATATTTTGTGTTGACTTGGTGAGATTCCTGTGCAATCCTGTCTACTACTATTAAAAGCCTATATATATACATAGTACATTTAATGCATACAAGGTGACAGCTGGAAATATACAGAAAAATGGTAGAGATTAATGACGGTCGCCATTTCAAAAACCCTTATGATGATTATATTTCAGATAACCAACTACAAGTATTTCGATTGGTATAATGGTGTAAAACTAATTTCCAGGTGGAAAACACAAATATTCCAAAGAAATTCATTGAATTATTGAATGTGTTAAATTCTAAGTACGAGAAACTATCCTCTTCTGATATATCCATGTACACGGGGTTATCAGGTAAGTAACACAACACGTCTGGAACTGCCAATTGTGTTTTGATGTTAAAAAGTTTTACTGTTGTCGGTTGACTAAGTTAAAGGGTTATGAGATTTCATACACATGGTTCCCTCGATAAAATTCCCATGAAGCAAGGAAGATGAAATTTCCAGTATAAAATAACATTACCCTATTTTACAGGTCCTCGTCGGCTGCCAACTGCCTGCAATTAGAATGGTTTTAATTAAATGAAGATAATATACTTCATTTTTGGAACTGTAGTAGAGAAATTGTTATATATATATATATATATGTATATATAAGTTGAACCAGTACGTCCTCTAGCAATTTAGCTTGCTTACAGTCAGGCTCAACCGACTGAGCATCCAACAACTCCCTGAATGTGATATAAACACCGGTCTTCTATCCCGAACTGAGGTTACAAAGCTGTCACTAATCCGGAACGAGGCAAAGCAGTGGGACCTGATGGAATGACTACAGAGGTGTTTAAAGACGGTGGAGACAGTTTACTGTTTGCTTCAACTAAGGTGTTAGGCAGCGTTTGGGAATCAGAAATATTCCCGTTGGTCTGATGTAAGTCATTGATTATCCCGATATACAACAAGGGAGACAAGTCTTCCTGTGATACTCACATGGGGATTAGCTTGACCAATACGGTATCTAAAGTTCTAGGCTCGGTAATCATGCGTAGACTAAGTGGTGCTCGGGAGAAACAAACATGAGTGAACCAGGTAGGCTTTAGACCAGGAAGAGGGGTATTGATCATACCTTCACCCCTCGACAGATTCTGGAACATAGACATACTTACCGGCGTCCAACAGTCGTCATATTTCTTGACTTGAAGGCGGCGTTCGATTCCATCGACTTACTTACTTACTTTACTTCGGCTATCTCCTACGGGAGGATGAGCCGGCTTCATGAACATCTCGAATCATCGCTGCCTAGGCGCGGCGATCTGATGCAAGGTTTTGCAACAGGGTTATCCAATTCTTGTTCCACAGACGGAGTCCGTAGACGGTTTGTAGCCACAGGTACTCCATATCAGCCTTGACTGTATCAAGCCATGTTTTCAGCTGTCCACCCCTGCGACATCGCCAAGTTACCGGGAACGCCGTAGCATGGTGAGAGTCGTTTGTAAGAGAGTTCATGAGGTTTCATGGGAATTTGGTACGGGTGATGCCCCCAGAATCGCTTGGCCTTTTGTTTGAGAGTGCAGCTCTAGCCTTTACACAACCAAGTGTGACCTACAAGGCAGTAGGAGTGGAGTAGGGAGTTCACTATCCATTGGCAGCTGGTGACCGGAGTTCGGTTCATACGCCTATTTGAATGGGGCCAGACATCCAAGACATCCAACAAGCCCTTTGTCCATACGTCTGCCGGTGAGCTCCAGTGAGCTTCATACGCCAGTGGTTGGAGGTTTGAAATCAGGGTTTAGCCATCTCCCCTAGACTGTCATCCAATAGACAGTCAACCCGGTGAAGAGCGCCGGGCATCCGCTTTCGCCCTCTCACTTTGGTGAAAAACACCTCCGCCACGTGAAGGCAGTGAGTAGGACTTCCTCAGGAGAGGCTATGTAAGACGCCCGGTCATATGGGAGCATTTCAAGAGGTGTGCGGAGGGGTGGCCAACCCGCAGCGCAAGGCACCCACCCCCGACCATCCTGAGGCTTTGGATATAAACACCTGTCCTCTATGCCTAACTGAGGTTACAAAGCTGTCACTAATCCGGAACGAGGCAAAGCAGTGGAATCTGATGGAATGATTCCAGAGGTGTTTAAAGACGGTGTAGACAGTTTACTGTTTGCATCAACTAAGGTGTTAGGCAGCGTTTGGGAATCAGAAATAGTCCCGTCGGTCTTGTGTAATTCATTGATTATCCCAATATACAACAAGGGAGACAAGTCTTCATGTGATAATCACAGGGGGATTAGCTTGACCAATACGGTATCTAAAGTTCTAGGCTCGGTAATCATGCGTAGACTAAGTGGTGCTCGGGAGAAACAAACATGAGAGAACCAGGTAGGCCTTAGACCAGGAAGAGGGGTAGTGGTCATACCTTCACCCCTCGACAGATTCTGGAACATAGACATACTTACCGGCATCCAACAGTCGTCATATTTCTTGATTTGAAGGCGGCGTTCGATTCCGTCGACCGAGGGGTCCTATGGCGATGTTTGGCTGTGAAGGGAATGCCGAGAAAATATATTGCACTGATCAAATTACCCACTCTACTCGAACTCATGCATTCAGCTAGGTGAGAGAGAGCCCCGATTAACAACGTCCGCGCATCCTGCTGCCGTGTCACAGGGCAGAAGTGATAAGTATGCTACTGAGACACATCACACAAAAAAAACAATCAAAAGCAGGCCGCATGTGACCGGCCTCAAGCAGTTGTCCTCTGGGCTCTGCGGTCCCGCAACACTTTCTGTTTCAGGTTCCCGAAGAATCAATCAACTTCCACGGTGTGGGCAGCCGAGAAGTAACAACCGCCCACACACTTCCAAAAGCACACGATGTTTTCCTGAGCATCACTCTCCCTTACTCACATCACCTTCCTCATCTTGCTTCTCTACTGCAGTTAGCACTATTCTGCAGGCTAGTGAGTCATCTTCACTTTACTCTGTGTCCACAAACAAAGGTAAGAGCCATAGAAACACCCCAGATAGCTGAACTTCTTGTTCTTTTCTGTCTTACGGATTTTTATTGAGTCAGTTGATTTAAATGCAGCTGTTGTTTTTTTGTTTTGCTATGCAATCACAAATATAAGTAGGCAATCTTTCACATTTTTATCCTTTATCAGGTATTGGACTATTCTACAATTACTTATCACAATCAAAAAGTAAACTCATCGATAGAAAAATACGTGAAGATGCTATTCAACATGCTGGCAGGCTGTTACTTCGTTGTCTGCGTCATATTGATGCTAAAAAGTTATCTAAGAATATCAGTGTTTTCACTGGACCTATCGGTGCATTATGCTTAGGAGCTGTACTGTGCACTTCAGCTCAAAGTGTCGATGCAAAACGATACTCGGAACAAATTCTATCCGCCAGTAATTATGCTGCTTTCGATTTGCGTTCTGATATGCCTGATGAAGCCCTATATGGAAGAACAGGTTATTTGAACTGTCTGCTAACTTTGAAGGAAAACAATAATTTTGATATACCCAGTGCTACGATTTCATTGGTATGTATTTTTAAATCGATATATATATATATACAATCTCTTTTCTTGGGTATAGATGTTGTTTTTATAAATTAGAGCAGGTTATAAGCAAGTTTATTATTATTATTGTCATTTCGCTATACGGATCAGAGACTTGCACTGCGCGTCATAAAGAGCATCTCAAACAAACTACAGACCTTCATCAACAGTTGTCTTCGCTCAATACCACTCAAGATCAGATGGCCGGCCAGAAAAGATCAGCAACAGAGAGGGATCTCTGGCAATGAGCGAACCAAACAGGAACCGATTGTGAAACAAATAGGCAGGAAGAAATGGAGATGGATTGGCTGGCCATACTCTGAGGAAACCATCAAGTGACATCACTAGACAAGCCATTGCTCGAGTGGAACCCGAAAGGGAAGCGGCGAGTTGGTCGTCAGTGCAAGGGTGACTTGGAGGAGGTCATGTGAAGAGGAGATGAAAACGTGTGGGCAGACTTGGAGCCAGGTGAAGACTCTAACAGAGTACCGAACGCAATGGAGACGCATGGCTGAAACCCTATGTTCCTCTAGGAATTAAAAGAAACATTAATAATAATTGTCGTTTTGCTAGAGTTATTTTGTAGGTATTTGATGTATCTAAGAGAACCGTTGAAAACCGGTAGGGTATACTGTACAGCAGTTTCGCCTTGGTTTGGTACTTTGCAGCAGTACTCACCCACAAACCTGGGGCCATCAGGTTACAAGGTCTTGCTCGTTGACCATTCAGCCTTTTAGGCTGGAGTTCAATAACCAGTGAATTCTAACCATCTCAAGTAATGGCGATCTAGTATGTCATTATTATTATTATTCCCTAAGGTTTCTAGTGGAACTGTGAGGGACTGTGAGTACCACCACATCGCCACTTCATTCTGTTTTCTACAACCCGTTTTAGCTGGCGTCGAGTGCTAGGTAAGGAGGGAAAATCAGTCGACGAGACTGTGAAATTACATCTACTGAGATGGTTAGGACATGAGTTACGTATGCCTAGTCATCGCCTTCCTCGACGGGCAATGTTAGCTGATATAGGGTCAGGCTGGAAAAGAGCTAGCGGCGGTCAAACGAAAACATGGCACCAGTCAGTGAAATCTACAACAGTTAGTCTAAGCCACGTAGGAAGGTGTAGACTTCATGGCTGGTTGGGGTCCTCGGGACGGTAAAACCAATGGTTGGAAACAATTGGTGACATGGCTCAAAATCGTTCTCGATGGGTGGCGCAGATGCATCCACTCCTTGTGACTTATGATTTCCAATGAAACTTTTGTTCTTCGTTATTACTATTCCTTTGTCTCACACCTCTGTTTACTGTCTCTAATATGCATTTCTCCTATTTTCTTCTCTTGCTTTGTGTGCTACATGGAGAGAGTGTGGTGACTTGAACTGCCGCACATATGTGCAAAGTTCTGTGTCGAAAACTGACCGACCGAGCTGGCTTTCATCTCTCTCGTACACGATCTTCCCCATGTCACACTTTGACTTACACTCAACTTGTTGTTTCCCGTTTGAATTCCACTAGAATGTCTGATGTCTCCTCAGCTCATATCCAATCCATCTCTATTTCTCTTAGCATTTTTTTGGGGGGGGGGCAATAGGCTCTCGATATGTAAGTTTTTGCTATTTCGATATTTGAATAAGATCCATCCATCATTTTGTCAAGTTTGATTGTGGATTGATATCAGTTAGGGGACTTGAAAACCGGGGAGTACTAGACAACTGTTTCGTTCTAGTTTGGAACTATCTAGCAGTACGCACTCACCAACCGAGTTTCGAACCCACGACCTTCCGGTTACGAGGTTAGCTCATAGACTATTCAGCCATGGGGACCCGACTCATCAATGGCCAGCCGATGGATTCCAACTTCTACCAATTCGTGATGAGTTTAGCACAACCATTGCCAGCCATTGTCCATCGTTGGTGAGTATTTGTCTTCACTTCCGACCGTGTTGGGAACCTCACTGGTCACGACTTCTCACCAGAACTGCAGTCAACTTCGTTCTGCAACTAGTCATTAGCGAGAATCAGGTTTATTTTCAAGGGGTTAGTTTGTAGGCACTTGATTTGTTTCAAGTTTGATGACGTATCGATATCAGTAAGAAAACCATTGATGATGATGATCTCAGCCCCAAATAGGCGAAACGGTTGACCAATCGTGTATCTGATTATACTGTGGTGAGAGCTGGCTGCTAGCCAAAGTTGGTAGACAGTAATTGACGTCAATGTTTATGTCCCCAATATTGGTGGGGAGAAAATGAGAACAAAGGCTTTGCGTAGGCGGATACATTTAGCTTATGGATGATCTGACACAGCCACGAAGAGATGTAAGGTTAACTTTCTGTGAGAAACAACCAATCAAAAGACTGTATTTTCTACTAACAATAATGTACATTAAAATTTATAAATATGTGTTGATTTTCCTTAATAAACAATCTGTTGCATGGCCCTTGTCTTCTGTTGTTACATTTGGTGTCGCTGCCTATCGACAAATGGAAAACCTATGCCCTACAGTTTTTGATGGAGATATATGGATCTTCAGGCAGGACTTCGAGGCTTCTTCGCAGTTGAGTGGCGTTCAAGATCTGTCAGCGATGAGGCTGCTACTTGTTGTTACAATACTACTTTTTGATTGAGATGAGTAGTACTGCTTGCAAGCCAGACCTAAGTGATGTGAACACCGAACAGCTGTTTCATTTGTTGGGGGCTGAGGTCATCAACGGTGTGTGTGTTTGTGTGTCGTTGATCCAACTGTGGAATACTCGCCAACCACACCGCACACGTGGTCTGGGGTCTGATCCCTGGCCCATGTGGCACTTCTTAACCTCTCTTAGTCCGATAGTAAGCCTGGTAAAGAGAGAGAGTTCGATGTAAAGCCAGCAACCTCACCCCGTAGAAAATAATAACACCACTTCGATTGAAACTTCAAAGCTCTAGCTTGAAGCGTTATATTCCACCTGGGGAACGCATAGGAATTTCAGAAAATTTCAGAAAAATCATCAACGGTGTATTCGAATTCTGGCTAACTACTACATTGTCTATAGGATAATACGATGGTGAATATAAATTGTGCAATTAGTCATAATAGTAGTAATGATAATAATAATAATTCTAGTAATAATAAAAATGGTCTTATCAATAATAAGGATGAAAAAGTGAGGCAATCTGTGATAACACGAATAATGAAAAACAGCATGATTAAACGAACAACATTGTTTTCAATTAGATCTCATCAGGCTTAACTCTAATATATATGTTTACAAATAAAAATTCAAATATAAATCAATCATTGTGTTTTGTCTATAGGATAATACGATGGTGAATATAAATTGTGCAATTTTTATTTGTTTTTTTTCCTTCACGTTCCCCAGTGGAACATAGGGCTTCAAGCTAGTGGCTTGAAGTTTCTGTAGCAGTGTTTATTTTACAGGATAGGGTTGCTAGCCTCATGCCCAACCTTTCCTCTTCACCAGCATTATTTCTGGCTTAGCGAGGTAAAGGAGTGCATTGTCGGCCGGGGATCGAACCCCGGACCATGTGCATGGTCGGCGAGCGTCCTAACTGCTATACCACCGACGCATGAGTGGAAGTGCAACTTTTTAATAAGAACAGGGAAATGTGTTGCGGAAATTGAGGCTGAAAAATCGAAAATTTCACTGACTTTCTTGATGAAGACAATTAGAGAAACGGTTCTGGTTTGCGCAATTTTTGTCAAGCGCAATTACCTCCTTCTATTGTTTTGAATTCAGCTGTTGGAAACAATTTGTTTAGTTTATTCGTATAGCTTAAATCAAAAATCTAATTATGCTTATTTTTAAACATATATATTAGAGTTAAGCCTGATGAGATCTAATTGAAAACTACTACATTGGCCAACTGGTGTAAGTAAATAGCTAGTATGTAGTCAGAACTAGGCCGGTTCGAAATGATTAAGCTCTCTAACCTGTGTCGAACTGGGCACACCGTTGATAAGCTCAGCCCCCCAGACCAACAAAAATAACTGTCCATTTCATGCAACCGGTTCCCTTTATTAGTTTGAAGAGAGAAAGAATGAACATGTTTGCAGGATAATACGAGCTCGTTTTATTTCGTGGATACTTATCAACTGCATACATCCTAAACAAAATCAAATTATAGGTTTCAAGAAAGTTGTGGAACATACTTTTTCATAATTACTTTGAGTCATAGATAGAAGGCATAAGGAACATAATTCCAGAATTTGATGTAGGTAGACAGGTTATTCGGTTTCAAAAAACAACTAATTATATATAGTGGAATTAGGTAAGAGGGGTAAGAGTTCAGACTTCTATTGGAAAACAACACAGATTGGTTAGAGGCATATTACAGGTTCAGGGCCTTCTATCTATAACTCAAAGTAATTATGAAAAAGTATGTTCCACAACTTCCTTGAAACCTATAATTTGATTTTGTTTAAGATGTATGCAGTTGATAAGTATCCACGAAATAAAACGAGCTCGTATTATCCTGCAAACATGTTCATTCTTTCTCTCTTCAAACTGTCCATTTGTTCTGGATAGCAGTAAGCATTGCTCGCTAGTTGTGTGAGTAATTTCTAGCTACTTATATCAGTCAATCAGTAGTATTTAGCTTTCTTGATTATTATTATTTATAATATCAAGCAGGTTATATACATTGTGATTTAGTTAAAATTTCATTCCGCATATTGTTATTGTTACTATAGTATTTTGTCGCTCCTTAAAAAGTGCTAACATGCATGATTTTTCATATATAGGTAGTTAATGCCATCTTACAATCTGGTCAGAGTACAGCTAATACTTACAAATCCAATGGTTATTATGATTCTTTAATACGACATTCTTCCAAACGAAGCTTACCAATACCACCGTTGATGTTTGAATGGCATGAAAAATGTTATCTTGGTGGGGCGCATGGTTTTGCTGGTATTTTAACTACTCTCTTAAAGGTGGGTAAGTAAATTATGGATAAAAATTTCTATTTTGATAAAGTGTCACACAGTGTGTTTGTTATACTGTAATATTTACTGATGACCACGTTTCCAGCACAATTTATTGCTGCTCATAATCCCAATATCAAGGCAATACTCTCACAACTTTCTTGCTTCGTTTAGATACATGAGTAAAATTTGATTAGACATTAAAATGAAATTAGTATAAGATAAAGTACATTCAGAAATAATATTAGTGTTATCAATCAAATACAATAAGATGGGAAATAAGATGCTTTTTACAGTTAAATAAATAAATAAATAACTTGTTAGAATGTTATAATGTGAACTGAATACATTTTAACATTATTTATTATTCTCCGATTTGACTGGTAATAATATCTTCCATATCTCTGGTATATGCGTTGAGTCATTTCTGTTGCATGTGTTCGGTGTAGACTCGATGAACCAGGCAGGGTTCAGTAATCAATCTCTCTCTGTCTCCACCTACTTATATTACTTCTTAGAATTTTAACCCTCTCCCACCCTGTTGTGTGATTGTGTGTTAATGCACGCAGTGCAATTTAGTGCTGAGCTTTTTTCTAAATCACTTATCTTCTCGGAGTCAACCATTCTTACCTTAGCTAAATTCTTATGTTCTGATAATCTGACTACCCCTGATCTACTAGTTTTACCAATGTAGTTGACCTCACTCACAGTCCTTGCAAGGTATTTTGTAAATCATATTATTTTGTTTAATTGGTTCCACCGGGTCCTTAAGCCTACAGAGCTTGCCCCTACCTTCCTGAGTTAATAGGTTTGAATGCCTCCCCTAATTCCTGCTTTATTAAGAATCTTACTTCGTTGGATCACAGATGTCCCCTCCTTATGTGGTAAAACTACTGTAGATGCCTTATATTCCTTCTTATTTATGTTATCATTATAAGTTTCATCATTAGTATTACTTTGCTTTTGACCTTTTTGATCTTCGTAATATATTTTATAAGGTAGTTATTTAACACCAACCAGGCATTCTTCTATTTGTTCCATTTCATCGTTTAGGTTTTTTGTTGTACCACTTAGTGCTATTGCTTAGTTTGTTGGACACTTAACTAAGCCTGCCTTTACAGATAACGGATGAGATTGTAACAACAGAAGACAAGGGCCAGGCAACAGATCGTTTATTAAGGAAATCAAAGCATATTGATATATTTTCATGTACATTATTATAGATTAGTTAAGCAAACAAACAAATTCTTCTGATTGGTTGTTTCTCACTTAAAGTTAATCTTTCATCTCTTTGTGACTGTTTCTTGAATGTCAGATCAGCTCTATGCTAACTGTATCTGCCTACGCAAAGTCTGCTGTGATCGGTTGTTGAATCACTCTTTGTTCATATTTTCTCACGACAAATCTTGAGAACGTAAACATTGACGTAAATTACTGTCTACCAATTTGGCTAGTAGACAGCTCTCACCACAAGATGAACTAAAGTCTGAATATCTATTAGAATGTATAGCTTGGATTTCTTTTTCTTCTATATAATTATTATTGCCTGGGGTTCCGAGTGGAAAATAATAGGACTTCAACAACACATCTGCACTTTGTTCTGTTTTCTACCGTTCTCTTCAGCCGGATTCACGAATGACCATAATGTCTCATCTCCCCTTCGCTTGAACTCTAGGCTCCCTATATCCCACTAAAGTTTATCATTTTAGATTTTGGTTAAATCGAAAATGCTTTCTGAAAAAAAATAAAAGATGACAAATTCAGCGAAGAAAATGCTTCTTTATTGATGGAGATGGCTTCATCGATAGGCGGTAAAATCCTAGCTATATTTCTGTCTCTGTCTGTCTGGATTCAACATAGAACTTGGCACCGGAGTGCAGCAGGTCGAGTTGCCTTGTTCCAAATAGCACACAAAGGTAGACACTAAGATGAGTGAAGAGAATCAATAGAGTTTTGACAAGTATAAGAGTGAAACAGAATGATTAATGGTAGAAAGGAATATGAAAGATTACAGAGACTGAATACATCTGCGCCACTGGCAACATGTCACCTATTGTCTCCAGCCATTGATTCTTAGAGTCGCGAGGGCCCCAACCCCGAAGTCAATTAGCTATATTTACCAAAAAACATATAGTAGTCGATTATTGCGTAATAGGGGTGTGATATTTTTTTGTATTCCTTTACTTTCCCAACGGAACATATGTCTTCAAGCTAGAGGCCTGAAGTTTTGGTAGCAGTGGTGTTTATTTTCACGGGATGGGTTTGCTAGCCTCCTGTCTAACCTTCCTTCCTTCCTTCTTTACCAATCTTATTACTGACTTGGCGAGATAAAGGAGTGTTTCAGCCGCGGACCGAACTCCCGACCATATGCGTGATTGGATAGCATTCTACCGCAGTGCCACTGACGCGGGGTGTGATTTAATTGACTCATTTGCTCAGAGATGGTTCTCAAGCGTAAAATATTACGTAATAACCATTGATACAATGTAAGAAAGTTTTAAGTTTGGTAAGGTGAAGATTGTTATTGAATGAGAAGTAAGGTGGTAGGTAGTTGAGTATCCACTTGACAAATGTGTGTTAAGAAGGTAAGGAAATGTACAAAAGAAACACGTAAAAGTGATAATAGTGAATTAATCATAAAAAATAAAAACTAACGATTAAGGAAGAGATAAAGACCACGAAAAAAATAAGATACTGAACAAACTTTTTCTGTGCATGAAGTTCAGGGTTACAGTGAGGATTCACCAGCGCTTCAGCCATACTGAAGTACTGAATTCTAATACCCTTTGTACCATTCGGTTTCACATTATTGATGATATTATCTGGTCGTCAGTATTGGAGGGACTCGAACCCAGGACCTGTTGATTGATAATTGAGTGGTTGATGCAATGAGACACATTTGAAGACATTTATCATGTATTCTTGGGGTTTTTTGTTGTTGTTGCACTATTGATTTCTACTTCCATTATTGTAGTTACTGCTTATTTCTAGGAAGGCTGATTAGTAATCATCGCTTGGTAGATGCTTTCGGTGGTACTTCTTTTTCTGTGAATTTCTGTCTCTTGGAGATGTTTGTTTTTCTCATTGTGCGTTTTTCCCAACGATCTAAATCTTGCTGTCAGTAGTAAAGGCGTATTCCGCTTTCATTAAATCGTACGTCTTATAATGCTAACAAAACATCCAGTTAACCAACCGATAAGCGTCGAGTGCATTGGGATGTCTTTCGCTACAGGATAACTGTGAGTTATAACTATTGAATATGAAGCATTTGATACGGGGTCAAATTTTTTACCTCTGTATAATCTTCATATCATCGCCTATGATTTTCTTGGAATCCTCCTTTTAGGTGAAAGTGGGATATGTTACTTAGTGAAGCAAATAAACCTCCATCTCAGGGACTACTAGCTGGTGTATACGCTCGGTCGGTCGGTCGGTTTTCGACATAGAACTTTGCACATATGTGCGGCAGTTCAAGTTGCCACACTCCATGTAGCACACAAAGGGAGAGAAGAAAGTAGGAGAAATGCATATTATAGACAGTAAACAGAGGTGTGAGACAAAGGAATAGTAATAACGAAGAACAAAACAGTTTCACTGGAAATCATGAGTCACAAGGAGTGGATGCATCTGCGCCACTGAGCAACGATTTCGAGCCATGTCACCAATTGTTCCCAACCATTGGTTTTTAACGTCACGGGGACCCCAACCAGGAAGTCTACACCTTCCTACGTGACTTAAACTGACTGTTGTAGATTTCATTGACTGGTGCCATATTTTGGTTTGACCGCCGCTGGCTCTTTTCCAACCTGATCTATCCTATGTCAGCTAACATTGCCCCTCAAGGAAGGCGACTGATGACTAGGCATACGTAACACATGTTCTAACCATCTCAGTTGATGTAATTTCACAGTCTCGTCTATTGATTTCCCCTCCTCACCTAGCACTCGACGCCTAACCTCAATATTACTCACCTTATTATACCACTTCATACGGAAGATAGAACGCAGGCACCTGTGATCAAAGACAGCTAATCTTTTCATGTCTTCTGCTCTCAATGGCCAGGTCTCACAGTCATAAAGGATGACGGAGCGGACTGTTGAGCAGTACACACGCCCTTTGGTCGATAGTTGGATATCACGTCTACGCCAGAGACGGCGTAAACTGGCATATGCGAAACTAGCCCTCTGTATTCGTACTGAGATTTTGTCAGGGATCATCCCGTTGGGGCTGATGGTACTTCCCAAATAAGTGAAGCGGTGAACGTGCTCTACCACTTCACTTCCTGTTTCTAATCTAGGGGTCGGTGAAGTTCAATCCTGCAACATCATCTTACATTTTACGGCGGCGAATCGCATGCCAAACATACGAAGATTGCTGCTCAAGGTTTTCAGAAGTAAAGTGCTGTCATTTCTAGACATACTACTAATCAATCCTTGGAAAACTTTAATCGTCGTCGAGACAGTGTGCGGTTTGTGTTTTCAAGGCTCATATGACAACTCAAGATGATGACGTGGTTCATCATCGATCACAGTCGTACAGTTACATCCGTACTTTGTTTTGTGTTGTAACTCCCCGTTCTACTGTTTATGTTATATTTTTAACATGTGTTAAATGTGGTAGTCTACAAACATCCATGCATTGATAATGCATCCTTTGTGAATCATCCTAACCGACAGCTGCTACCTCGACGCGTGGTTGTTGGGTTAACATATCCTAATTACCCAAAGAGCTACACTGACTAAATGCTGATGTTCCTGCAGGTCTTACCATGCTAAAAAGGTCGTTTGGATAACATTTAGACTAAAAGCAGTCGGCTTCATCGTTTAAGTTATTTACACTATATTGAGGGTTTGTCAGCGAAATCTTACTGCTGGCTGATAGGGATGTAACAGCAATAAAATGTTCCCATCAAATGAAAGGCATACCCTATTCTGCTGTGGACAGGAGAGTTTAAGGAAGCTCAACTCCGAAAATTATACATCCCGACTTACTTAGTGGTGGCCTGTGGCTGACAGTAAGACAGTAATATGGACACAGCTTAGAATTCCACTCCAGACAGGCAGTATGTTACTGACGTCAAGCTGTTTTCCTCTGGGATCTGCGGTTACTCAACACGAATGCCTATTTCTGTTGCAGTTACGTCAAGAAATCAGTGTTTGTGTGCAGTATGTATATGTTCGAACAGGAGAGATAGTAGGTGTAGTACTCCTGCTAAAATTCACTGCCAAATTTAAAATTACAAACATAATTTACTGTTATGAATTAATAACACTTTTTCGTTACTTGTATTTACACAATGAATTACCTTAATTCTAAAAATCTTGTTTTTCTATATAGGCTTATAAACTGTTTCCCGGTGTAATATCCTCAGATACTTTAAATCAATTAATTTTACCTACTGTTGAATGGATGGGACAACTTCAATTACCGAGTGGAAATTGGCCTTCAAGTTTGGGGGATAGTATAAGTCGGGATGTATTAGTTCATTGGTGTCATGGTGCAACCGGTGTAATCCCACTTATGCTATCAGCATACAAGGTAAGGCAAGTTTGTTACAATGACTCCGAATTTTGATAGACTTTTGAATATTTTAATATTATTTATTGATAGGTGGAAGAGGGTAAACAGATAAACATCTTACTCTGTATCAGGGAATGGTTAGTTAACTGGATGTATCAGTCATAGAATTACTAAAGCTGTCTTCACCATATTATTTTATGTTTTCATAACGTGACTATCCAGTCCATTTTTGTGATGTATGCACGCCTTATTGCTGGTTGCTGCTGCCCCTTTATTCCCACTGGAAAAGTACTGTTGTTTGAAGTTTCTAGTTGCGTAGTTAGAATTCTCAAAGTTAGTTAAATTCCGGTCTTAACGAGAGAATAGTCGAAGAGCTGGCATCGTAACTGCAAGGTCCAGTCTTCGGTGATGGTGGTGGTGTACTGGGTCCTGACCGACAGCTGCTACCTTGACGTGTGGTCGAGATTGCATATCTGAATGACTCAACAAGCTACACTAGCTGGAACTAGCATGTCAGGAAGATTGTTAGGATAGCAATTAGATGAAAAAGTTACCGGCATAGTGTAAGACTTATTTTACACTATGCTGGGGGGGGGTGTCTGTGGTCAGAATCACACTGCTGAGGAATTGGGATGTAACAGCAGTAGGGTGTTTCCCTCAGATGACCAGCATGCCAACTATGCTGTCTCTCCACTCTGGAGTGAGGGGGTTAGAAAAGGTCGACCTCAGAAATTGTACAGTCCGAATTACCCTATGGTGGTTCATAGCCGGCGGTAAGTTACTATTACGTAAGCAAATCAAAAAGCCAGTTCATACCAGGCCGTGTGTAACCGGCCTAAAGCAGTTGTTCGCTGGGCTCTGCGGTCACGCAGCACTAATTCTCTTCCATGGTGTAGGAAGCTAGGAAGTAGCAATCGTCCTCACACTTCCAAAAGCACACGAAGCCCTCTTCATCATCTTGTCGTGGTTAGTCTCTGATGAAGAGTAACCCGAGACTAGGACGAAATATCGGTCCACTGCTCCCTGGTTTTTAAGGCTTCTATAACTTATGTTGGTTCGTGGCGAGATCAATATTAAGAAAAAAACACTTTTCCAGATCTTGTTTTATAATGTGTATTGGTATCTTCTAAAACAAATAGGAATAATTATAATTCCATTAGCTTAGTTTTTGTCAAGTATTCGAATTCACTTAATGTGATCAACAGACAACAATCAGCATAAATGGAAGGAACCTGAAAGAAACAACCTCCTTTACCTACCTACCTGGGAAGCATCCTTTCAACTACAGGCGAACGGAACTGACGAGGATATCAAAGCAAGAATCAGAAAAGCAAGACAAGCTTTCATTACTCTCAAGTCTGTGTGGAGGACAACAGCACTCAGCATCAAAAATAAGATCCGGACTCTCAACTCCAATGTGAAGTCAGTGCTACTTACTATACGGATCAAAGACTTGCACTGCGCGTCATAAAGAGCATCTCAAACAAACTACAGACCTTCATTAACAGTTGTCTTCGCTCAATACTCAAGATCAGATGGCCGGCCAGAAAAGATCAGCAACAGGGATCTCTGGGAGCGAACCAACCAGGAACCGATTGTGAAACAAATAGGCAGGAAGAAATCGAGTTAGGTGGATTGGTCATACTCTGAGGAAACCATCAAGTGACATCACTAGACAAGCCTTTCCTCCAGTGGAACCCGAAAGGGAAGCGGCGAGTTGGTCGTCAGTGCAAGGGTGACTTGGAGGAGGTCATGTGAAGAGGAGGTGAAAACGTGTGGGCAGACTTGGAGCCAGGTGAAGACTAGCAGAGAACAGAACGCAATGGAGACGCACTGCTGAAGCCCTATGTTCCTCTAGGAATTAAAGGAAACAATAATAATAATGATGTGATCAAATGTGAAGACAGAAATACGTTGGACCAATAGAAAAACTCTATGTGATCTGAACTTTACGGATGGTGTTTATGTCGAATGTCAGACAAACTCGAAGATCTGCAAGAACTACAGCGCCTTCGTCCAAGTATGAGCTAGAAGGAACTTAAAAGTATCCTAATCGATTCCTACCACCAGATTAAGAACAAAAAATAAACATCCTGTCAACAGCCTACTCACACAAAGAAACACCGAGAGGCATTACGTGACCTCAGAAAGAATAAAAATCTGATAATAACTAGACCTGATTAAAAAGATCTGGTCCAACTCTCGAGCGCCATCCATTTTCAGGGCTGGTTGATTCGGCAGATGAGTTGTTACACACTCCTTAGCGGTTTCCGACTTCCATGGCCACCGTCCTGCTCTCTGGACCAACCAACACCTTTTGTGGTATCTCATGAGCGTCGCGTTAGGCACCTTAACCGCACGTTTGGTTCATCCTACAGCGCCAGTTTTGCTTACCAAAAATGGCCCACTTGGCACTCACATTCAATGCAAAACTCCATTTAAGCGAGTTAAGCTTCTCACCCATTTAAAGTTTGAGAATAGATTGAGGATGTTTTTTCCACAATGCCTCTAATCATTCGCTTTACCGGATAAAACTGTTTATATCTTAGAATGCCAGCTATCCTGAGGGAAACTTCGGAGGGAACCAGCTACTAGATGGTTCGATTAGTCTTTCGCCCCTATATTCACGTTATACGATCGATTTGCACGTCAGAATCGCTACGGTCCTCCACCAGAGTTTCCTCTGGCTTCAACCTTCGCAAGCATAGTTCACCATAATTTGATTCTTAAATCGATGCTTGACGAATTAAAACCCTCAGACGCACACACATGCACACACACACACCAAGACTTTATGTTTCACAGAATGTCCACAAGCCTGGAGTATGTCATATCCTAGAGTATGCGTCACAAGCTCTGTCATTCTGTAGCAAAGTGGTTGGTAAAGGCATTGGAACCTTTAAATCGTGAATTAGTGAAATTCAGTGTAAAAGACGTATTTAGCTTTGTAGCAATTGCCGAAAGCCTGAACGTAAAAGGAAAGAAAATGATGTCACTAAATGTAGCATCATTATTCATCAACGTCCCATTGCTCGAAACAGTCAACCACTTATGTGACCAACTGACGAAATGGAAGATGGATGTAGGAATCCCACCGGAATTACTATTGAAATGCACGATGAATGTCCAGTTTATGTTCAGCAATGATTTTTATAGACAAGTTGATGGTGTTGCCATGGCCTCACCCATGGGACCTATGCTGAAGGATATTTTCCCGGCAAAGCTCGAAATTGGTCCATGCAGATACACGATTAAAGGGCTTGACTATTATTGTCGATACATAGATGATACCTTCATCGTTTGTGATAGAAATCTTAATAAACAAGAGCTTCTAAATGCTGTTAATTCATAATGTTCACCCAGTTGTTCAGTCTGCATCTGTGGAATAAGACAATGACAGTATACCTTTCCTAGACGTCCTCCTCACCAAGAAGACAGACAGATATCTACAAAAGAACCTATATAGAAAGAAGACTTGGACTGTTCAGTACACCCATTTTCATAGCTTCACACCGATTTAATACAAGAGGAACTTAGTTAAGTATTTCTGTTATAGAATAAAACGCATATGTTCAGAGGAATGCATTAAGGAAGAAATGTGTAAACTGAAACTTACAATACAAGGAAAAGGATATCCGGGGAACTTCCTTAAAAAGTATATGTTGATACCTAGAGATAGGGTAACGCTGGATAGTGTAGACAAGAAACCTTCGTATCTTAAGTTAAGTTACAAAGTGGAGATTGCAGCTGACATTCTAAACTGTCGACTTAACAGAGTAGTAGAGGGAACATTTGCTGCAGCTAAACTGGTACTCAGCTTCTCCACTAAACCAGTAATCACACAACGAGTCAAGGATAAATTACCAAAGATGGCCTCATCAATGCGTATCTTTGAATTCAACAACTGCTTATATGGAGCTGGTTATATCGGCAGTACTCAGAGGGCTTTATCTATGTGCGCAGGTGAACTCGTACCTGTATGATTGAATAAAGGGGTAACCAAATCCGTAAATAACGCAGTCTTAGCCCACCTGGTAGATACTGGACACTCAATAAAACCAGAGCAGGCGTTCTCAGTTATCTCCCTGGTTCTTGGTAATCTGTCTAGAAGAGCTCGACTACGTCTCTTATCAGTAGCTGAAGGGGTAGCAATTACTACTAGAAGACTGGGTTTGAATAAAGCAAGAACAACAGTGGTTTGTGCAGAATAATATGGTAGTATCATTTATTTCGTAGGCTTCTCATCAGCTGCTTACAGCCTAAATAAATATACACACATCATTAAATTAAATTACTTCATCTCATTTTGTCCCATGTTCTAATTGACCATGCATATTAAAAAACTATCTGACTATTGTTCCATCTCATCTTATACTTGTTTCACAATACACTTTCTGATATGATTCTAATTTGCCTTTACTAGCTATTGCATGCTTAAATTAATGGATTTATAATTGTAGAGCCTGAAGATGAATTTATTGAAAACAATTGTTCGCTCTAAATATTTTGTTCTGAATAAATTATGGGAATATTCAATTTATAGATATTTATATATTTTTATGTATATTATTATTAGCATTATTGTTGGTAGAGAAGCAACGTTTTCTGATTGGTTATTTTCTTGCTGAAGGTTATTCTGTACTGCTTGTGACCGTTTTTTTACAAAGTTACCCATATATCTGCGAATCGTATTTGCATACGCTACGTCTGCTGTGATTGGTTGTTGAGTTCCTCAAGGTTAGGCTTTGTTATTGTTTTTTCTCATGACGCCAATTTGAAACGTAAACATTGACGTAAATTGCTGTCTACAATTTTGGCTTGCAGACAGCTCTCACCACAAAATGGAAAGTATGCTACCAAGGTAGATTTAAGGTGATCACTGTCTCTTTATGGTATACAGAGATCCGACTTCTTTAATCTGGTTGCACAGGTTTCAGCAAAACCAAATGCCTTTTTATATTACCTAGCTTAGTAACAACTATAAAGTTTTTACTCAACGCGTCACCGTATGATTACAGTCCAATAAATATCGTGTGATTGAGCTCCTTGGAATGCCATTATGAGTAAGTAAGTACTAGAAAGCTATTTGGGTCAGTGTTCGACAACGCGAGCTAAAAGACCTAATTCCGTACACCCCATTGTATTTACTTCTACAAACACGTGTGAACTGATATAGACATTTTAATGTGTTGCTTACACTATCCCCTTTGTTGTATTTTTGAGTAATATATCAGCTGCCTAATAGGTTCGTTTGATTACTTCCTTCAAGCGACGTCTCACCAAAATTGAGTCACATTACTCCATAGCTGTTGCTTGTTTTAAATTTAATATAACTAGTTTATTCATATGTTCATGTGTGATCAAGATTTGACTGAGTAGTTTCAAAATATTTTATCCTTAACCTTTAACAGTGATGAGTATGAAGTGTCCTTGTGCACGAAAATGCACACACACAAAAAACTTGGAGGATCTAAACTTCGCCGATGATGATATATGTCTGATTTCCGACAAACTGGAAGACATGCAAGCGAAAAGCAGCAAGATGGCAGAAGAAGCATAAAAGATAGGAAGGACTTCAGGTGAACATAGAGAAAACAGATGTGGTGATGAAGATTCCTGGTCAACACCACCAACCGCAACAACAACAACAGACAACGATCGGCAAAATGGGAGGAACCTGAAAGAAACAACCTCTTTTACCTACCTGGGAAGCATCGTTTCAACTACAGGCGGAACTGACGAGGATATCAAAGCAAGAATCGGACAAGCTTTCACTACTCTCAAGTCTGTGTGAAGGTCAACAGCACTCAGCATCAAAAATAAGATACGGACTTTCAACTCCAATGTGAAGTCAGTGCCACTTACTATACGGATCAGAGACTTGCACTGCTCGTCATAAAGAGCATCTCAGACAAACTACAGACCTTCATTAAAAGTTGTCTTCGCTCAATACTCAAGATCAGATGGCCGGCCGGAAAAGATCAGCAACAGAGATCTCTGGGAACGGACCAACCAGGAACCGATTGTGAAACACATAGGCAGGAAGAAATGGAGATGGATTGGCTGGCCATACTCTGAGGAAACAATGCATCAAGTGACATCACTAGACAAGCCATTGCTCGAGTGGAACCCGAAAAGGAAGCGGCGAGTTGGTCGTCAGTGCGAGGGTGGGTGACTTGGAGGAGGTCATGTGAAGAGGAGATGAAAGCATGTGGACAGACTTGGATCCAGGTGGAGACTCTAGCAGAGAGCAGAACGCAATGGAGACGCAGGGCTGAAGCCCTATGTTCCTCTAGGAATTAAAGGAAATAATAATAATGAAGGATTCGCTTTATTTCATCCGATGTTTGCACACGATAAAGAATCACCATTGTACTAACCCCAAGTCATAACGATACAGGTTTCGATTCATCCTCATCTTCAATTCAATTTTTACATTTTTTTAAATAAAGGCTTTGGGGGAATTATTTTATTCAACAGTAGACTGAACCGATTTCAATTCCTTGTTGATCTCCTCCACCTCAGTAACTAGACGTTTGGCTCTGTTAAGCAGATTCTTGACCAGTGGTTACTTCAGCGGTAAAGGGATTTGCTGTATTGTAGTCTAGTTATCTGTCCGAATATGTCGGCTTTCTGAAGATATTTATTTTTAAGTTGACCATCTGGTTGTCTTTTTACCAAACAGTCGAGGAAAGCCCAATCATTTGCGTTGTATTCAAACTCTTTTAAAAACCTAATGGTTTTCGACATATTGTTTACTAAATAAAAAAAGTTCACCCAACATACAACATTTGATTATAACGAAGTCATCATCCACATTCCTGGAGGATTAGAGCATCGCATAATTGCGTTTGTTTCTGATGAGTGACTAGTGGAGATACTGGTGATCCCAATGTCGATGCCTTCTGTTTGATGGTGCAGAACCCTTCAGAATTCAGATTCTTCTTCTTTTTTGTAGAATAGGTTTAAAAGATATATAAACATCAATTTTTATGTCCTTTCTCTATAAGATATTTGGCAATAGATGAGCTAGGTCTCCTGTTCTCACCATTAATGGGTTGTAAGGATTCTATTTGCTTCTGGAGCCATTTAGAAATATTCTAGGAAGCCAGCTCTTACTTGCAGAGATCGATGAGTCCTCCCTATGTATGTGTGTCCACATGTACATTCAAGTCGGTAAATACAGTAGGATGTGACATCATTTTTTTGCATGTTCTATGGGCTTAGATGGATATATCGGATTCAAATTCTCAACTATTATGATATTAGCTGCATAAAAAGTCTTTTTTTAACCACAACGTTCAATCTTTGTTTAGTTTGTCAAGCTGCTATGACCCACCATATACGGTAGGTTGATGTACACGTCTTTCTTAGCGACGAGTTGGAGAGTGGGTGTCTTGGTGTTCTGTTCTGACTACTTTATATCTCCTAATGAACTTGTCTGGATAATTATTATCAACCAGAGTTTGTGTCAACTTCTTCCTTTCTTCCTCATCAAGTGTGTCTTCAGTGCATATTTGTTGGATTCTACTGAACACGCACCTCTTTCCCTAAGGCTCTTTTGTACCGAAAAGGGCAGAAACTGTGGTAATTAAGATGCTATCCTGTCCAGGTAGGTTCCACCCTTAGTTTTTTCCCGGGCTACTGAAGAAAGACTATAACATATTACACAGGATATTAAAGGTTGTCAGCAGGGTAAGCAACATGCCACTTAACCAGCTTGTTAATATTCTGGTTGACAGGCACATGGACTCATATGAAAAATGGGCCAAATCCATTTTATCTAACTCACACCACCCTCTTCACTCACAACTCTCCCCTTGCATCTCATCAGGCAAAACCAGAAGCCTATATAGAAAACTATATGCTCGCACTAGCAAGTATAAAAACTCAACCATACCCTACTCAGCTCGTGTTCTGTGCGATAAAGAAAGCATTAGGCGTGACACCTATAACTCATTAAATAGTCTGTAGAACAACTGGACCTCGTCTTTCTCACTCATATCATTTATAGGTACAACATTTTCTTTCTTTCTTTTCCTTTTCTCTCTCTTTTTTCCCATATGTGCTGCTTTGTTTCTTTGTTCCGCTTACGCCAGTAAATATGATAGCACCTACTTTTCTAACACCTTCAAACACTGTTCAACGTTGGCTTTGCTACCGACATGCCAATATGTTGTTGTTATAAGGAAATGAGATTTCCTTAATCTATGTAGAATTTTATTTATTTATAATGTACCAACTGGATGCAATACTGTAGTAAAAATGCTGAGAATTCCATTCTGTATCACAAGAACTGTTTTGGAATAAAGCAAATTATTATTATTATTATTAATAAAATAGATCGTTTTATTGACCCATCAAGCCGTCGACTAAGCAATATGTCATCTAGGAAAGATAAACAATTATCGTCCTGTTCTACAGTCGTAGGTGATATGTTATTCTGAACTTCATTTGCTCGATTAAAAATTGAGATGGCAGAGCAAGGCTTATCACTCACTGATAATTACAATGTCGTCTACATGCCTTCTATAAAGTGTCACATATGTGACACTTTAAATCCTCTTATAAACTCTCAATGTACGACATGTAGATATCTGTTAATATTTTCATCCTGTTCGTCTGTATACGTTAGATGAAAATATTTTTCTATTTTTAAATAGTTATCGTTATCGTTATTTCTTTGTTAAGATAAAATTATTCTTTTTTCTCTCTTTTTTCTAGATAACCGGTGAAAAAAAGTACTTAGAGCGTGCATTGACTGGTGGAGAAGTTCTCTGGACTCGTGGTCTACTCCACAAAGGTTGTGGTCTATGTCATGGTTCTGCTGGTAGCGGTTTCAGTCTATTGGAAATTTATCAAACTACACATGATCCTAAGTTTTTGTATAGAGCTATAAAGGTAAGTAAGTCAATGTTGATAGGATGGACAAGCTTCTTTTTTCTTTAACTGTGAAGTTGCGCTTTATGCTGCATGTATTGACACATGAGACAATCTTTTGGGACGGTGTTGATTCGTTTATTTCTGGCTTAATTTTCTGTGGGTTTTCAGTATCAACCCCCAACCAATCAGAATTGTCTATTCATCATTGATGGCTTAAATTTCTGAGGGTTTGTAAATATACTATACCATGTATTTTGTCTGGTACATATTGTAATTGTCGTTCCGGTCGTCGTTTGTCGCATTCTGAGTTTTGTGTCTATCTCAATGGTGGAACGGGGAGGGGGATAATTTCAAGTGGTCAGTTGGTGTTATAACCTCGTCTTTTGAAGGCGCATTCTGGGGAAATCAGTCGACGAGGTTGTGAAGTTACACCGGTGGAGATGGTTAGCGCATGTGTTACACATGCATCCCTAGCCATTGATCGCCTTGCTGGACGGGCGATGTTAGAATGGATCAGGTTGGAAAAGAGCTTGTAGTGGTGGTCAAAGCAAAATATGGCTTCATCAGTCAATGAAATCCATAAAACTTAGTTTAAGCTAAACAGCCACGTAGGAAGGTGTAGACAGCTGTCTGGTTGGAGTCCTTGGGATGGTAAAATCCAATGATTGGAGACAGTGATTTTTCTCAAAGTCGTTGATCTCAGTGGCTGGCGCAATAAAATTCTATTGTTCTTCCATATTACTATTCTTTTTGCCTCATATGTTTGTTTATTGAGTCTGTTTTGAATCCGTCTTTTCTCTCTTCTCTTGCTTTGTGTGCTACAAGGAGGGAGTGTGGAAGCTGGAACTAACTGGCTGAAACCAGTCAGTCAGTCAGGTGCATTCTAATCAAGTTACACAAATTCACAATCCAGTATATAGCTTTCGACCTCCATCGAGACACTAATCTTTTTTAACCATAAGATTATGCGTGATTATGATAGGAGGTGGCTAAAATTATTGAAAACAGGCTTTATTATGCTATATTATTTTTCCCGTAGGTCCTAAGTGTGGAACGTACAGCTTCAACAACATATCTGCAATGTATTCTGAGGTTTTTTGCAGTCCTCTTTAGCCGGCTCTACAATTGTCCATAATCCCTCATCTCCGTATCACATTTGGACCAACGCCCAATTCAGCGTTTCCCATTCGGGTTCCACTCGAGCTTATGCCTGACGTGCGATGTCACTCAGCTGTCTCCTTGCAGTGTGTTCTATCCAACTCCATTTTCTTCTACATCTTTGTTAAGCAATAAATTGTTGACTGGTTCTTTCTTTATGGCCATCTGACTTTCAGCATGGAGTTACCGAACATGGTTGTTGATTAAAGTCCGCCACAGACTGTTGGAAATGCTTCTGGTGACCCACGAAATCTCTGAAGCGCATTGTCTGACTTGTTGGTAGTGTCGAAAACCGGCTCTGACGAAGTTAAACCGGTTCAGACAAATAAACCATTGAGCTGAAACAAAATATTTATTATAATATGATTCATCAACCCTAGAAGCCCAGCCTTATGCTACCAATTTGCGCCATTCTCATCGCTACGGACTAGTCCATCTTGTTTTTATTAGCTCTGTGGAAGGGACAGTCACAAGTAATCGGTGATCAGTAAAATAATCGAACCCACAAATCATCAGTATTATCACGTCATCATCGATACTACAGATTACGAATTAAATTATTTTCAAGCGTTGGTTATCAGTTTGCAGACTTGGTCACGAGGTGACATCCGTTAAAGAATTATTGGAAAACCTGCAGGGAGTATTGATCAGCTATTTCATCTTTAGCTTCGGACTCTTCAGCAGTACGTACCCGCTGGAGTCCGCAAGTAGAACCTTCCAGTTGCAAGAGAGCTGGTAAACCATTAAGCTACTGGAACCCGATTCAATGGCCAGCCCATGAATTCCAACTTCTGCCTATTCGTGGTATATAGTGTAGTCCACTAAATCAGGTGAGAGGCCAGTTACTCGCGTTGTATATCGCAAATTGGCAGAAGTTGGAATCTGTGGGTCATTATATCGCGTACCAGTGACAGAATCGTCTACGAGTTCGTCTTGTAACTGAGAGATCCTGAGTTGGAAAGCTTGCGGCGGATGCGCACTGCTGAAGAGTCCCAAACTAGAGCTATCCAGTATTCCCTGGTTTTCCAGCGATTCTCTAACTGATGTCATCTCGTAGCCAAACCTGTAACCAATTATATTATTCTTGGAATGGATGATTGAACAGTTTTTGTGGTGTTGAATCCTGTTTATTCATTGTTTTCTTTTACTTCCCAGACTATGTCATTCTCAGTGTGTATGTTGGAAATTTTGTTTTTGTATACTTGAGAGTTCATTACGTGTAACAACATGTTGATAATTTTTTTAAACTAAGACCACATTTTTGTTTTTGACTAGACACTAGTCAGTAACTAGTGTAATGTATCTAGTACTTTGTTTGGTGCAGACTGAATTCTATCAGTCACTTGGCAATATGGCCACCATGCTAGGTGGCTCGCCATTACGGTGCACTGTGAATTGTTGGCATTAGATGGTTGGAGGCAATCGGCCACAGGAAGCTTTGCCTAATCTAGGTTTCGTGCTTGTTGACACTAACCAGTCAGCAAGGTGTATCTGCAATCACCTTGAAGGAACTCATGTGTCTTCTGTGATACGAACCCGCATCACTCAGTGCTGCAGTCAGAGATGTTACCACTGAGCCAGCCACCTAGCATGGTGGCCACATTGCAAACTTTACTGATAGAATTCAGTTTGCAGCAGAGATAGGGACTAGACACATTACACTAGTTATTGATTAGTGTTCAATCAAAAATATCCAATACAGTCCTACAGGAGGTGAATCGCGAGCCTGAATATCTCAGTGGTAACTTCTCAGACTGCAGATCTCATTGCGTGACGCTTGTTCGAATCTCAGGAGGGACATGAGTTCCTTCAAGGTGACTGCAGATACGCCTTGCTAACTGATTAGCACCAACTAGCACGAAATCTAGGTCCAAGCAAAACTTCCTGCTGGCTGCCTCAAACCATCTAATACCACATTTGTGTGTCGGTGGTTTGAGTGGTAAGAGTATTCGCCAATCACGCCGCCACACATACGGTGGGTCCGGGTTCGATTCCTGGCCACCGATCGATTCCGGAACCTCACCTAGCTGACAGTAAACATGGATGGAATGGAAGAAGGTTAAGCGTAAGGCTAGCAGCGACCTCGCCTTGTAAAATAGCACAAGCTCTACAGAAGACTGAAGCCGTATGCTCCACTCGCCGGTCGCAAAGAATTAGGAAAAAACTACACTCACTCATAGAAATTAATGTATATTCTTTAGCCTCACTGTAGCTGCTGAAATGTTCGTATAGCTTTTGTGCATATAAATGAATAATTTTAGGTAGAATAAAAGTATTACACAGTCCTTGTATTGATCATTTTGCTTTCGTTTAATATTATATTTAGTTTGCTGAATGGTGTACTGATTGTTTTACCAATGCTACTCGTGTTGCTGACCGGCCATATTCACTTTTTGAAGGTTGGTTTATTTTATTACATTCAAATTTTTATAATTAAGAAAAAATTATTGTACCTATTTCTTTCACATAGGTCATATTTGAGTGTTATTCAACTATTTAGAAATATGTTTTGTTTTAGTTCTTTAAAGAGGTGAAGATACTAACTGACAAAATGGAGAGTCTTCTTAACACCTTCAGGAGCAGCCATCTATCTCCAAATGTTTGGCATGCGGCGATTTACTCCTGATGTCAAATTTAAAGTGATGCTACAGGAGTGGACTACATAGATTCCTAGGCTAAAGATAGGCAGGAATGAAGTGGTTAGTTGAGTGTGTGTGGACCACTTCACTTATTTGGGGAGTTGCATCAGCCAACACCAGTGGGTTGATAACTGACGAAATCTCAGCACGGATACAGAAGGCTCGTTTAGTATTACGCCCAGTTACACCATCTCTGGATAGTAGTATTCAATGGAATCCCAGCAGGAGCATTGAAAATGGATCCAGAGACAACAGCGGACTTGATGACGCCACTACTGGAGAAGGTGTGGAAAGAGGGCAATGTACCCGAGGATTGGAAGAAAGGATACTTATTCAAGCTGCCAAAGAAAGGAGACTTAAGTCAATGCAAGAACTGGCACGGAAGTATGCTTCTGTCCATCGCAAGCAAAATACTAAGCCGCATCATCCTGGAGAGAATCAAACAATCCCTGGATGAAAAACGTCGACCGGAACAAGCTGGATTCAGGAGAAACAAGTCATGCATTGATCAGTTCGCAACACTAAGGACCATCATTTGAATACAGCTTGGAGTGACAGTCAGCTCTCTACCTCAACTTCATCGACTTTGAAAAGGCCTTCGACAGCGTCGATGGAGAGGTGCATTGGCAACTACTTCGCTACTACGGGGCGCCATCGACAATTATACATCTCATCCAACAGTTGTACGACAATGCTGCATGCCAAGTAATCTACAACGAGAGACTTACGGAATCCTTCGAAGTGAGGACAGGAGTAAGACAAGGCTGCCTACTATCACCAATGATTTTCCTGATTGCAGTAGACTGGATAATGCAATAGACAGTGGGCGATGAGGAAACAGGCATAAAATGGACTCACACAAAAAACTTGGACTTTGTCAATTATATATGTCTGATTTCCCACAAACTGGAAGATATGCAAGCGAAAAGCAACAAGTTGGCCGAAGAAGCATCAAAGATAGGACTTCAGGTGAACATAGAGAAAACAGAGGTGATGAAGATTCCTGAACAACAACAGATAACAATCAGCATAAATGGAGGGAACCTGAAAGCAACAACCTCCTTTACCTACCTGGGAAGCATCGTTTCAACTACAGGCGAAACTGATGAGGATATCAAAGCAAGGATCGGAAATGCAAGACAAGCTTTCATTACTCTGAAGTCTGTGTTGAGGTCAACAGCACTCAACATGGAAAATAAGATCCGGATTTTAAGAGAGAAAGAACGAACATGTTTGCAGGATAATACGAACTCGTTTTATTTCGTGGATAGTCATCAACTGCATACATGCCAAACAAAATCAAATTATAAGTTTCAAAAAAGTTTTGAAACACTTTTTTTCATAATTACTTGGAGTTATAGATAGAAGGTATAAGGAACATAATTCCAGAATTTGATGTAGGTTGGCAGATTATTCAGTGTCAAAAAACAACTAACTATATATAGTGGAATCAGATATGAGGGGTTAGAGTTCAAATTTCTATTGGAAAACACAGATTGGGTAGAGGCATAATACAGGGTCAGGGTCAGAAAACAGAATGAATTTACCATAAACTTGTCCCTCACATTAAGATCTCTTATTTTGTCAACAAATTCAAAACTACCATTTACGCTATGCTTTACCAATTCATTATGCAGAGGCTTTAGAAGCTTCACTAGCCATTTCGCTATTGCATGATATGGGGAATTACACATGTCCAATACTGGTCGAAGCGGCAAACCAATTTTGTGCACTTTTGGTAGTCCATATAATCTTGGTGTAACCGTACCAGTAGGCTTTAAAGATTCATATAGACCGTCTATGATACTACTTTGTTGTTTAAGTCTTTTTAGTGACTCAATTAGTTGTTTCTCCACTTTTTCTGTCGGATCGACGGAAGATGTAATTTTTTGAAATTTTCGATGATCACTGAGTATTCCATTCATCTTATCTACGTATTCAGTTCTATTCATTATTACTACTCCAGAGCCTTTATCAGGCTTCGAAATTATTATATTCTCATTATTTCGCAGCTTATCTAGGGCTTCCCTGTGTTTCTTGGTCAGTAAGCTATTTCGTTTCCGTTTACTATTCATATATTTATAACAACAGTCCACTAGAGTTGATTTAAGACTTTCAACTGCCTCAGGTGACGAGGGTGTCAAGCCTTCAGTTTGAGCAAAGAAGTTTTCAAACTGAACTTGCATATCCATCTTGTTAATTCTAACATGATTATCACAAAACTTAGTGCCTAGGGATAATACTTGCAAATCCGTATCATCAAGGACAACATCGGAAAAATTATAAACATACCGACCAGGGTTTGGAGGAAATCGCATTTCCGGAGTTTTGCTTTCCAGGCTTTGTAATAATTTGGCACGTTTCTTTTCCTTTCTCTTACCAGAAACCTCATTCACGTAATCCAGGAACGGTTTCTTCAAGTGCTCAGGGAGCTCATCCACAGCATAGAACCTTTCTGTGACATTCTTTGACAATTCCGTGATACATGATTTGAGTGAGTCAATCTGATTCAATGCATGACGCTTGAGTGTCTTACTATTTGGGCGAACTCTGCTACGTCGCAAAGACTTCCAATAGGATTTAGGATATTGGTTTCTCTCAATGCATTCAAGAATGAAGTCCAAAGAAATTCTCGCTTCACTGAGCCTTGCGCTGTACTTCAGATACTCATCGAGTGCCTTTAACGCAAACTTTTGCTCGGAAGATTTCAATATAGAAAATATCCCCATTTAGACATTTGAGAAAACAGAAAGATTGAGCGAAGAAATATTTACTTTTCAATTAGATCCTCTTCTATGGCTCTACTCTAATATATATAGCATTTTTTACAATACACAACAATTTACCAAACACGTGGCGATACGTTTGTTAACAATAATTAACCAGTGTCAAAATGTCAATGGGTAGATAATTAAGGAAGAAAATTAATACACACAATTAAAAGGTAGAAATGGATAGAATAAATTAATTTTACAAGAATAACACGTAATTAAAGATGAAGTGGTCAAAATAAAATTAAGATAATTTGGACAATTATAATGTAATTTTACAAGAATAACACGTGATTAAAGAAGAAGTCAAAATAAAAATAATTTGGACAATCATAATTTAATAGGGGGAGGGGGGCGACGTAGTCCTGTCTTGTAACGATGGCCACGGTAAGCAAAGTGGCTGTACAAATTTCTTCTGTACACATAGGCTTGGTTTCTTCTGGTGGATTCCAATTGCTTCAGCTGTCTGTAAAAGACGAAATCTTAGAGCAAAGTTAAGATTAGTTGGAATACGATAAATAATTTTAAATGCAGTATTCACATCGACCTTGTGCTCAGTATCAACAAGGTGTGCTAAAATAGAACTACGGATAGATTTTACTTGTCCCTTGCTTAACCACGCTGGATGATGTTCAGAAATACGACGATGAAACTGCCTAATTGTACGCCCAATGTAGCTGGCTCCGCAGCTGCAGTCAAATTGGTAGACACACATAGAAGAGGCAAATTTAGGTAGTTTGTCCTTATTTCTCGAATGAATTTACACATCTTGTGGTGGAGAGTTTAAGAGGGTGGGGTGAATAGTGAAGTAACATTTTTTTTTTAACTAAAACAGACAATTAAGTGGATTTAGAAACTTGATAGTCAGTTCAACTTAGCAAGCGAAAGTCAAAATTGAATAGAATGTTTCGTAACAAGACAAACATACAGGCAAACTGACAAAAAGGCAAAACAAAAAATAAAATAGAATTAGAGTTATTTTTGATTGCACACTAGTCAGTAACTAGTGTAATGTGTCTAGTCCTATCTTCGGTGCATACTGAATTCTATCAGTCATGTTTGCAATGTGGCCACCATGCTAGGTGGCTCACCATTACGGTGCACTGTGAATTGTTGGTATTAGATGGTTGGAGGCAATCGTCAGGAAGCCTTGGACCTAGGTTTCGTGCTAGTTGGCACTCAGCAAGGCGTATCTGCAAACTCGAAGGAACTCATGTTCCTTCTGTGATTCAAACCCGCGTCAGCCAGTGCCGCAGTCAGAGACGTTACCACTGTTGGGCAAAAGCTGTGATAATTTAAGTATTGACCAGTCCAAGTTTCTTTCTTGTGGACAGATTTTTGAATCGTCCCATCGTTTCTTCTTTTTATACTGACATCTGGGAAATGGAACTGGTTGTTTCTTTCGTAGTCACTTGTAAATGCAATGTTGGGATGAGCCACATTGAGTTTCTCAAACATTGTGGACGCGTGTCCTATATCATTGCAGACCACAAACGTGTCGTCGACATATCTGCAGTAATAGCTGGTTCTTTCTATTTCTTCTTTCATTCGAGTCTGTTCAAGATGAGCCATGAATATGTCAGCAAGAACAGGACCCAGAGGTGAACCCATAGCCACCCCGTCAATTTGCCAGTACAGCTGATTGTTGAATCGGAATTGAATATTCTTTGTACATAGAAGTGGCAATTTGCGTAGCTCATTTTCTGGAAGAGGGAGCAGTTCAGACTGCTGGCATATGACTTTTACCGTTTCTTCAGTGCGTATGCTGGTAAACAGTGAACAAACGTCGTATGACACGAGAAGTCCATCTGAAATATCGAGTTGATCTAATTCTTGTGAAAACTGGAAAGAATCTTTGATACTGTGAGCTGCCAGCTTTTTTCAAAAATGTCCCGTCGAAGCTACAGCATTAAGAAGTTAAAACAACCAGAAATCGCTCAACCTATAACTTAACAATTTGTTAACTTACCTATTGTTTTCTGTATTGCTCCCCCTTAGTCTTTCCGGGGTTGTAATGCACGCTGAAAATTCCATACCTGTACCACAAATACTGTTTGGAATAAAGCTATTATTATTATTATTATTACTGAAATGGGATTGTGTCATATTGAGGAGAAGGGTATTTCAAGGTTGTCAGTAGGCAACTTAGTGTACAACTGAGTCACCTTGTAACTAGATTAGTTGAAAGACATCTAAACTCATGCGAGAAATGGTCCAAATCTGTATTCAAGTATTGGTTTGTAGGGATTTGATTGATTGGGTGCAGCAGGTCGGGTGTGACGACAAATACTCGCCGAAGACATTTGGCTAGCGGTCGCGCTATGTCGTGAATTGGCAGAAATTGGAATTCATGCACTGGCCATTGAATCGGGTCCCAGTGGCTTAATGGTCTACGAGCTAGCTCGCCTTGTAACCAGAAGGTCCTGGGTTCGAACCCCTGTGGTGAGTGCCTGCTGATGAAGAGTCCCAAACTAGTGGGACGAAACAGCTGCCCAGTACTCCCAGCTGGTTTTCCAATAGTTCTCTAACCAGTCTCAGCTCATGCTGAAATCCTGTCTGTTTTCAACTCTCCCAGCCTTGTATCTCATCTGGTTGGACTAGAAGTTAGTAAAAAAAGATTATGCTCTCGTGCTACCAAATATAGGAACTCAATGATGCCATATATTTGGCCAGCGCGTGTTCTATGTGATAGAGACAATGTTAAGTGCGAAACCTATGAGTTAATATGTTGTTAGCAAAATAATCGGCTCTTTTATTATCTCCTATTTGTAATCTATGGGGTGACACTACCTCAGTTAACTAACAATCTTGGCTACTAACATTATTATTTACATTTTTTTGTATATTTGTATGACTTCACTGTCGTCACTACTAATACCAAACAAGAACTGCCATTAACAATCTAGTACTAGTATGTCTATAATTGTTTTTTTTTAAATATTATTTGATAAAATTAAATGCAATATTCTACGAAATGCTGAAGATTCCACACTGTAACATTAGTACTTTTTTGGAATAAAGCAAACTATTATTAGTAGTAGTATTTGTTTGCTTATTTTCTAGTTTGCAATTAATAGTGTTCTCTGAACTGGTTGGTTTATTGGCGAAGCTTTCGTCGTCCTTGTGGACAACATCCTCCTTCAGCGCAATATTTAGCATAAAGTGAAATGATTCAAATTTCTTCATGAGTGATATAATTGCGTCTCCCGGTAACCATCTTTACATCCGTATTGACCATTTTCTATTGACTTGGATTTTGAACTTTCTGGTCACCTGATTTACTTTTTATTAGTTGGTATGTTTCGTCAATATTAACGTGTTTGTTAATTGCATATTCGTTTGAGTACCAGGCTTCTAGGTATTCTCTGGCACTTTTGGTGTTTCCTCTGTCTAAGATTTTGACATTATCCCAATCAAATTGATGACCATAATTGTCTGTATGCATTGATACTAAAGAATACTGATACTTATACTAAAGATGTTGTCCAGAAGGACGACGAAAGCTCCGCAACTAAACCAACCAGCTCAGAGAACACTATTAATTGCAAATCATCCACCTGAGCTACAAATCTTCTCTGTTATTTTCTGGTTTACCTAGAAATCTACCGTATTAAAGTATATCCCCACACTAATTGTCAATCTAATTTTTTTTACTAATCTTTCATTTATATAGGTCTTGCTGGAACACTGTATTTTCTTGTTGGTATTATGGACCCAGCCAGCTCGAAATTTCCATTGTTGAGTGGACTTTAAGTAAACATTGCAGAGATGTTGTTGTTTTTTTATCGCGTATACTTTTTCTTGCATAAATTCCTTCTGTCTTGAGAAACTTGTTTCTGTTTTCTTTTCTTTTTAATCATTTTAACAATTTTACTTACAAAACATTTTCAGATCATAATTCTGCTCATGTCTACATTCATTATAAATTATTTAAAATAATCCCAAAGTTTTGATGATATCAGTGTGAATTGCTCCCGAAAGAAATCCGAAACGATAATCCAAATTATAGATTTAACCACACGTAGAGTGACGCATAAAGTGCGAAATGCAGGATATTCTGCAATACGGTACTTTATTACATAAAAATAGATATATAATATACAAACCTCAAAATGTGAGGTGTCTGTGGCTAAATGCCGTCAAATGCACAACCACTGTGCAGTCAATAAGTAAAAACAGCAATGGTGTGTCAAGGTCGATCCACGTGTCGGTTCAAACGGCCCGCGAATGCCAAGCAAAGAATAAACAAATATGAACAAACAACTTTCAATAGTAAAGCATACACTATAGGGTAAGGTCAGCAAATAATGTTTAAGGAGAAGAAAAATAAGAACTATACATTAATAGAATGATAATAGAACAAGTAATTTAACTGCATTTGTAAGCAAATGTCATTGTTATAAATTAACATATAAAATCATACTACTTACTAATGGCAAGTAGTATAATGTTGAACAAAGGAAAGATTGAGAATGAACAGGTAGGAAAGGAATTAACAATCAGATGGTTGGAGGCAATCGGCCACAGGAATCCTTGCTTGGACCTAGGTTTCGTGTTAGCTGGTACCCACCAGTCAGCAAGGAACTCATGTCCCTTCTGGTATTCGAACCCGCGTCACCGTGCACCTTGATGGCGAGCGACCTAGTGGCATGGTGGCCACATTGCAAACCTGACTGGTAGAACTCAGTCTACACCAAAGAAAGGGGACTTGACACATCACACTAGTTACTAGTGTCCAACCAAAATAATCCCAGAGTGTGTTTTAGAAAAAATTAAAACAAGATTTTGCTGAATATTCGGCTGTGTAGACCACAGTCTTTTTCAGCAGAATTATTCAGATTTTATTAATCATCAAAATACGTGGTCCTAAAACTTTTTTTTACATAAATTGAAGCCACGGAATATACACATTTGATCATAGGGAATAAAAAGACATTTGTTGCGAAGAAATTTTTCTTTTCGACGGAAT